ACACCTTCTTTATTTTTCTTTGCTGTTTGGGCATGACTGCTTATTTCTACTTCAGGTGTGTTCAGTAAATAGTGTGTATTGGCATTCTGCTGCCTATGAGGTCTCCTGTAGTCTTCATCTTGCCGTTATGGATTTAATTGTCTTGTGTGGAATACCTTGTCTGTTCTTGGTCAACTTTCTCATTTTCACATAATTCTGCATGGTGAAATGAACACAACAGTAGTGAGCATTTAGACCTCTATTTTTCCCCAAAGATATGGAATCTAAGGGTGTTAGGTCATTCTTAAAGAGCAATCTTAATGTTCAGCAAGATGTATATGTATATATGCATATATATGCTTATGTATGTGTGCATGTATTCATTATACATAATTGTGCAAATTATATATATAGGGCAGTAGTGGCTGGTAAACTGACAAACAACTGCAAAAGGACTTCTGATTTTCCTGGATGTAACCAGACATAATTGAGTGTTCATGTATATCTGTTCTGATTCCTGAGTTTGTTTGAAATAGAAACAGATAATAATTAGCATTTATCAGCATGTGGTTCTCAGACCTTTCTGAGTGTCATCATTCATCTTTGTGGAGCATTTACGAGCCACAGAAAAGAGAAGTGACAAAAGAGAATACCTGTGATTCTTCATTTCACTCTGCTATCTATACTGGTATCTCCTTTATTTATCAAGATCCCAAACTTTGTAAAACTACCAGACATTGCTTTCTAACTGCTATTGATTTTATGTAGTTGTTTTGGTGTAGGGTAAATTTGGGGAAAGAACTTTTAAAAGGGTGTTTTTAGGAAAGCAGATTTAATTAGCTCTTGTCTTGAACTAGTTTGGGGAAGATATTTTTTTGGAGAAAAGTGGTAAAAACTTGTTTATTAAACAAACAAACTTAAACAATATTAAATAGTAACATTTTTCGTTATTTTAAGAGAGAGATAAATTTAGAAAAAAATTTCTGGGCTGTACTTTGGCTTATTTAGTTTTTAACTTTTTTTTGATGCTGGAAACCCTATGGCCCAGGCCCAGCCCACTGGGCTACAGGGGCGAGCTGTTGTTGCTCTTCTGTGTTCAGTTTAGAGTAGGTTTAAAGAAAGGGAAAAAACTATAGTTTAGGGAACTTTTTTGCCTCAGCTAGCTAAAACTAACTAGAAAAAGTAAAGGAGAATTCTGTCTTGCTGTTTGTTTGTTTGTAGATAATACTATTTAGGAGTAGGAATGTCGAGGAGGGAGTGCAGTATTTGAAAATAAATTCTGCCCTTTTCTTTTTTTTTTTTACTTTTGGGATAAGTTTTAAAGGTGTAGAACTTATTATTTAATATA